TTGGAAGATATCCACTCATATTTGCTTCAGCTGAACATTACAATCCTATTTTAAAGAGAACAAGGACTGTGGATTTTGTCTTCCATCACTTACATTGAAATTACTTTATAAAAGCATTTCTTCAAAAGCATTTGAAAAATTGTGAACCTTTCCTTTAATACCTTCTGATGTCCCTATCCTTGTCTGTTACACTCTGCTAGACAAGCTGCTCGGTTCCTCCTGAAGATGCAATTCTTTAAAAGCTTATTTAAAAGCTCACAAATACGTTGTTTAAATTAGAAAAAGGCTCAGTGATTTACTAAAACGGGTTCTCAGCAAACGTTACTCAAACAGGAATATATACACATTTGGTGTTCTAGTGTGTATTTACAGCATACTTTTGGAGTATCTTGGATTAAGTCAAAATAAACTACAGTGTGTGTGTTTGGGGTAATAAAGGAACATGTCACCCATTGGCTCACTAATGTGTTGTTAATAGTTTGCAGCTCTATGGCAGGAATAAGATATTTTGGATATACTGACAACACTTAAGTCCCTTTTGATTTGGGGCTTTTCATCAGATTGGTTGACAATAACAAACTATCGAGTATTACCAGACATATACTCTAAGAATGTTACAAATACTTAATTGTTTAGATAAGCAAAAGACACCATTTTTTATGTTTCATAGTTAAAAAGGGGGTTAAAATAGCTGTAAATGTCTCTACCCTCAACTATATCTTTGGTTATACTGTGTGGAGATCTCTGTATGTGCTGTACTAATCTTGTGTCACTGTCATTGTGCAAAAACTGCAAACAACACTATGTGCCCCCCCATCCTCCTCCCACACTGATGGCTTCCCATGTACCTTGAGTATAGGACAGAGCCTCATCCATCAACTCAGAGTGTGTGTGTGAGTGACTCACTCTCTGAATGAACAATAACTAAAAATCTCCTTAACTCATGCTGCTCTCTCTCTCTGCCACCATCTGTCTCAACTCCATCTCCCCATTTCACTTCCAGATGCACTGATACAAGCTTTGGGTGTCCATCTCCAAGCTCTCTAATTCCCTCTTGTCACTTTGTCAGATTGAACACTGGGGTGTCTTGTCACAGTTGTCACTGCACACCAGCCTCATATCTCACTCATTTCACAAGACGACGGGGGCGTACCCGCCTCAGAGATTAATGCATTACACCTTCACTTCCTGTCTTATTTCTTCCTCACCTCCAAGGTCAGCGGTGCGGATAAACGGCGTAAGCAATGTTTGTCATCGCGGCGTGTAATCGGAGAGAAGGTTAGACTAGAAATATCATCAATAGTTTGTTGATTAAAACGCTGCTATCTCTTCTGGCTTTGTTTTCTTAAAAGGGAGAACTGGCAGTCCATTCACCTTCAGCATTAATTAGTTTTGAGTGCGCTCTTTGAACGAGGTCAGGTGTGTAATTGTGACGGTTGAAGAAAGAGTTCAACATTTTGGAAAATAGGCTTACTGTATCGATCTGTGCTCTTTTCAAAGCCACCAGAATCCTTTGACAAGAACAGTAATTTTACCTTGCAGAACGAGGGAGTTGCTGGTCTGCCGCCTTGATTGCTTGGTTTGTTTGTGTTATTGTGTGACTTTGGTGTTTTAACATGTCATTTCGTTAGTTGCTACAGAGGCAGCGGTAGACCAGAAAATCCTGTGTGCTGCGAGGTAAAATTCCTTTTTTTGTCAAAGGAGTGTGGTGATTTCTGAGAGCAATATAAATGCTTCAGTTTCCAGGTGGAAAGCGCTGTTTGACGGCAAGATAAGGCAGTAAAAATGCTCTAACGCTAGCGTACACTTAAACTAACATTGATTTTTTTTAGGTGGCTAAAAAAACGTTTTATTGCTGCCCCCATCCACAACAATGCATACTTAGCTTCCGTGCTGGTGCTTCTCCAAATTGGGGGCGTGTTGACCGCCACGCATCTAATGCAGGTAATGCACTGGTGATGAATAAGTACCTCATAAAATGCTACTTAAAAGAAAAAGGAACTACCTCTTTAAAGAAGAAAACAAGTGAGAACAGCGTGGTGGTTTCTACTGAAGGAATTAGTGCTGGAAATGAAAATGTGCATTATGCTAAATTAACCACATGAGCTGCTGTACTAGGCTACAACAAATTACCCCTTAAAAATGTTTTTTACCTGGTGTTTATTGGCGACCGGCCTTCATTTGTTCATCACTGGCCACACCATGACTATAATATTGACCATCATTTGAATGCTGGCTTTAAAATGAGAATTTACTGCATTACGGATGCTAACAGAGAGTTAGACGAGCAGATTGACACATTATATGTCTTTTCAATTCAGTCAATTAATTTAAATCCGTAGCTGGCATAGAGCAGTGAATGTATGTGCTTTCTTTGGATTTTTATTTATATGTGGAGGTCCTTGGCCTGATTGTTGTACTGTCTGTTGGATAATTTTTGTTTGTTAAACAATCTTGTTGATGCACATGTTGATTTTCTTTGTTTATGTATTTATCATTATGTACTGTAATCAAGGCATCCTTACAAAAGAGAGCCTGCTCTCCTCGGCACTCCCTGTTCAAAAAAAGGTTCATAAAGTGTCTGTTAAATATGAAGCTACAGCCAGGAGACGGGTTAATTTAGCTTAGCATAAAGACTGGAAACAGGGGGAAACAAAATCTGCCAACTTATCTATGTTGTTCCACACCAAAACCAAATAATTAAGACAAAAGGTTTTATGGTGACTTCCTGTAGTCTTTGCCAGTTGCCTGGGAACCTCGCGATGACGACAAGAGACCAGGAAGTCCTATGAGATTGGTATTGATCTTCTAACTCTCAGCAAGAGAGCAAATAAGCACATTTCGCCAATCAATAATCAAATGTCTTCCTCTAACCAGGTTTTAAAAAAATGACAACCACAGCTTCTTATGAGGAATCAATTGCTAATTTGTGAGAGAAGATTTAAGAAAAGAAGAGAACATTTAAAAAAGAAATTCAACCTCAAATGCAACTGATTTTTGCTGGTATAAAAAAACAAAAAACAATTAGCATAAAGCTGACAAACACACACAAACACACACATTTGCCATGGAAACAGCCTGATGTGCTGTGTGCAATGCTGTGTGCGTGAAGAAGCCTTAATGGGCCTATCACTGTGTGAATATGAATTAAACCAGCCAATTGTAGAGCCCAATGAGATTTTGCATATCATTGTTGCCACATGATAACGGGCTGGTGGGAAATCAGAGATAATACTGTAACCTCTGCACAGCTTCCCTGTGTTCTGGTGTCTTACTGTACAACATTAACATTTCTAATAAAAAGCATCAAGCTGGGTGATTAATGATTATTGTCAGTAATGATGAATCTGATGAATATTTTTCCTATTAATCAAAATAATCTTTTGATGAATCAAACTTCAAGATAATTAATGATGATAACATTTAAGAAGCTGCAACCACCAAACATTTACTGTATTCGCTTGCTAAATGACTTTAATGGTCAGTTGGTTATGACGATGAATTTTGACTAATCAATGAATCAACTGATTATGTATAGTCTTGAGAAAGCTTGTATCTGGAACTTTTACTTTTTACTTTTTGTAATTACTAACCATTTTTTGCAGGATGGAAATGAACTCACTGTAATTCCACCCTGTGTTCAACCCCTTCCCTGAAACTGCAAATCTGAGGTATATAATTAAAAATTTCTATTAGCCTGAGCAACATGTAGTACTCTACAATATGCACTAATTTATATAAATTTAAACCATGGTGTATGAGAAGAATGTTAAATATAATCTCATTAATGCACTAAGTCTTCAATAATTAAAGGAGGCAATTCATACATTCGACTGGAGTAGGCTGTGAGAGATCTGATATACTGCATGGTCTCTGTATAATGAGGTAACCATTGTAATTACACTTGGCCAGAAGTAGTATGGTCCATATCAAACAGTTAATTGGAACAGAGTTTAAATTACTGCTGGTCGTCCCCACATTTCTCAATATCTCTTTTACCAGATGAACCTGCTGATTATTCAAACTAACCACGGAGAAGCAGCATTAAGTTACCATCCAACAACCTTTACATTTACAGTTTCAAATGTTTTTATGTTCTCCACTGCCTTTGACTGAACCCAAAGTTTCCTACTTGCACTTATGTTTTAACTTATTGTGTACTGATTTATAAAGTTTTGTCTTTTTAATTCACTTTAAAATGGTTTCAGTCCCCTTTTTGTGATTTAATGTTTTATTATTATTTATCTCTTTTTAGGTTTTAAATTCTTTCTGCAATGAAGTGGTGACTTGTGAGCTGTTCAATTATAGCAAAGTTGGAAACATAAACACAATATGAGTATTTAAACTTAGTTTTTTGTTATTTCCAACCCTAAAAAAAACCTTCTTGACTTCTGATAACTTATGGGGGTCCAACTTGTGAACCACTTATGTAAAGCGCCTTCATTTCCCTTTGCGTATGAATAACTGCCTGAATTTGCTGCCAATAAAACAGTCAAATGTTAAAGCATCAGTATGATTAGATGGTTGTTTCTTTCAGTGTCTCTGTTTACAAAAGATTAATGGAGGCAGCGAAACATAATCTGTCAAAAGCTACATTTGGTCACCTCACATTCATCTTCATCTTCCTCATATATGAATCAGGCTATACTTGTGCTGAATCGACAGCTAAAACTCTTGTGCTTTTAGTAGCTGATCTTGAGGTAACATGATTTATGACGTTTCATTTTGAAGTTACCCAAGTGTGTAACATGTAATTCAGTTCAAATCAAAAGCAATTCTGCATAAACCATTCTCATTCTGACCCACATTGATCAACTACACATGAAACAGTGTTTTATGGATCTGCATCTAGAAGATCTCTACTTCTCTTAATCCAATATGTGTAGCCTTGTTGGGAATCTGCACTAAAATTCTACAACACCTGTGTCTAATGAGCCGCCCTCTGTTTACCCCCCTGTGTTTGTAATAAAGGAGGCTGTTAACGGAATGGAGTGCCATACGTTGTAGAGGGGGATGCTCTTCATAGGTTTATACTGCTTCAGGGGGTCCATCTTGTACAGGTGGCGGTCAGTGATGAGCACAGCCCGGTCCTCCGCCTTGTGGAAACGGTTGATCTGGGAAACACAAAGCTCCTCATTAGTTACCCCACAGGATAAGTGCACACAGACACACACACATGTAAACACCCTGCAGGGCGACTGAGCAAACCAGGAGCAGTTGGGTTTGTTTGTTTGTGCAGGCAGTTACATGTTGTGACTGTGTGTGCATGTGGTTAGCGGTGGATAAATGCTCTAAAAACCTCCTACCTTTCGCACGTTGCATGAGAACAAGACTCTCATGAATTTGTCTTTCCGCTGCAGTTCGCTGGAGACCAGTGTGAAGGATGAAGCTGTGTCAGGGCTGTCTCGCTTCTGTTGTGCACAAGAAAACCCCAGAAAACTTGTTTAAATAATGATTTGTTCATCATTGGGCAGGGAAATAAACCAGATCTGGAAAACTAATGATACTAGGAATTTAATAAACCAAAGATTTTAATTAATACATTTTCTGAATCCAGTATAATTTAAAGTTCAACAGTTTTGGTAGTATCCCTTATAGCTATCGCAGTAAATGTGGAATTTATTACAATATAGAGGTAAAGAGATTTACAGTGGGTATTATTTGACATTTTTAGATACTGCTGATAAAATACATGACCTTCAATTCTGATACAACAAAACGTTTTTCTATAAAAACCCTTTTTCATTTAAACAAATTAGCCAGCTAATGTTAAATGTCTAAACACAAGTAGCCGTACAATAAAGTGCCTAACAAATGAGTCTAAAATGGGCAACATTTTGATTTCAATCAGGAACTATCTGATCAAAGAGTAAGTAAACAAGATTATCACAGTTATCACAAAGAAGTATTGATGTTCAATATACAGCTCTAATATAGATTTTAGAGACACAAAACCAGCTGACACACAGGGACAGTAATCTGTACAATATGTCTTTGTTTTCTCTGTTGCTGTGTTTGTTTTTTCCTTCCAATATATAAAGACACACATTTTACTGTACCCCACCCACTCACCAGGTAGTTTCCTTCCCAGGCCCTCTGTAGACCCAAGTCGGCCCTCTGGCCCTTCAGGGCCTCCAGGCTGGCTACCTTGGCCCTCACCTGCAGGGCCTCCTCTGGAGAGAGGCCTTTGATCAGTGTCCAAGCCCACCACCTGGAGGTAAACACACACGCACACACACACACACACACACACACACACACACAACACACACGAGAAAAGTAAGAACAGAGGAAATCGACTTTTCTTCATCATGGTTACTGCACAAGGCCTTGATAGTTAGGTCAGCGGGAACTGCAGGAGACCCCAGCTGTACTGTACTTATTGACCTTCCACTCACACATCCTGACAGCCAACATCATTCTCTAGGAAGGCTATTTTCTTCCTGTGCCCAGCTTCAAATAGAAAAAAGCAAACAAACAGACGTTGGGATGAAAGCTAGTGATGAGTCTTTGATGGAGGAAGAAAAATCAATGCCCAGTGTGAGCCCAAGGCAGAAGGAAACATGTGTAAGTTGCTTCAAACGGACTCATCTGGATGTAAAACAACACTTGAGGCCATGCGCTCTCTCCTGCGTTTGGGGTCAGATCCACTTTTAGTTCGGCCAATTTAGGAAAGTGGTTTTCTTCAAAAGAAAGCAATTTTAAACATTTTCTTTCAACAGGCATTTTCTTTCAACAGGCTTTGAATTATATACATAATTGAGAATGTGTGGCACATTGTTAAACTTTTAAATGCAGTTTCACTATTACTACTTTATATTTGAATTGTTTGAAATGGAAGATAATTGACCCCACAGCACAAACACAGCAGTTTGTTGTGTTTGTGTATTTGAAGAGAAGCAAGAACCTTTGTTATGAATCTTGAAGTTGCAGCAGGTAGACAGCAGTCACATTTAAAGTTATTTTGCCTGAGTACCTGTTATAGATGCTTCTGAGTGCATCTTCAAACTTGCGCAGGACTTTGGGGGGCGTGGGCCACTTCACATGCCTGCCGTAATCCTTCATTGATCGGACATTTTTGAAGCGGCGGTTGACTTCTCGGATGTAGGACTTGACCTTGTAGCGTCGGTAGGCCTGCAGGATGACGAGTGCCGCTCTCATCCGCCGGTATCGCATTCTCGCTATGGTGCCCCTCCACACCTGGAGACACAGGACAACAAAATGAAAATGTAGGTATCTGTAAGTGATAAAGCTACTGTAGATAACGCATTCTGTATTGTCACACGCTGGGAACACAACTGCTGCAACGCGGGGTTCTTGAACAACACGTTCTGTACTGGTCACATTAACATCTGGGAAGTCAGATTATAAAAAGGAATGGTTCAAATTGAAGCAGCACAGGCTGAGGTATCCTGACTTTTCAATCTCCTTTAGCATTCAAGCTCTTGCAAGGCTGAATCCTTCGTTTCCCATGATACAAATTATGGCATATTTTCATTAGATCCTATGTCTTCTACTGTACACTTGCATGCTACCCTACTCTTCTTTGTCTTGTTAACTGAGAAGCTACATTACTGTCTACAGTCACCAAGCTGCTTTGTGAGGCTACAATGGTCATTGTATAGAAACTGTAGAGATAGATGAACCAAAATAATGGACAGATTGACATTTTGACCTGATGATAGCAGTCAGGAGATCACCAAAGGTCAAAAAGACCATGAATGTATGCACCAAATTGCATTGTAATCAATTTCACTCTGGCGTTAAAGTCATTTGGATACATAAACTTGGATTCATAAAGGTTTAGACAAAGTTTTGTGCCACCCATCTTGTAGATATTTCACTGAAAAAACTAAATATTCGCCCTGTTGTTAATAGAAGAAAAGTCAGGGGATCACCAAAGTTGCTAGAATTCATCCTCTGGGTCACTGTAAATCTTTGTACAAAAGGTTATAGAAATCCATCTAACAGTTGTTGAGATATTTTATGTGGACCAAAGTAATAGACAAATTGAGCGTCATTGCCATCCTTTCAGCCGCGCCGCTAGCGGGGCTAAAAATTGGTCTACAAGCTCAGGCTTTGTGATAACATGATGACAACATCAGGGGTTATTTCCTCAAACTTGACAAAGCTCCTCCAGAGCCACACAGGACATTACACAATACATTTTTTTTAATCCAAAAAATACCTGAACAAAAGCTACCTGAACATTTTAAAAAGACACCTGAACCAAAAATGGTAAATAAATGGCTCATTTATAAAGGGATTTTATCCAAATCACTTTACGATTAGCCATTTATCCATTCACACACACACACACACACACACACACACACAGACACACACATGGCAGGAAGCTACCATGCAAGGTGCTGGCATGACCATTGGGATTCAGTGTCTTGCTCAAGGACATTTCGACATGTGTGTCAACCCTGTGATTAGTGGACGACCCGCTCTACCTCCTGAGACACGGCTGCCCCACCCAGGAACCGATCCATATCAGACCCGGTCCAAAATGCAGTAGACCCGAACAGAGCCAAACAGAGACAGAGAACACGAACATCGACAGCAGCATGACGAGCAGCTGTGGGCGAAGAACAACAGCACGTCATTTTCACAGCACACACTGTTTCTCTCACCTCAAAAACCACATCTTTCTCTTGTGGTGATGATAATGGACCGCATAATTAGAGTCCACTTGGATGTACTCAGGTAAGAGACATATTACCACAAAAACCCAGAGACACAGGGCAATAAAACAGAACCGTACTGTACCAGAACATTTGGACCTAGTCTGACTCAAGTGTTGGGTTGCATCTTGGTTACGAAGAACTGAGAGAAAACTGATCTTTATGTGTGTAAGCATAAAGTACTGGGGGAACTTTACTAAAGCAGAAGGGATGAGGGGATATTTAGAGCTGCTGTATCTAGATTTCTTTTACTTATTTAGTGGGATATCCATCACTAACTGGGCTATTTTTAAGGTCTCATGCACCAGTGGTATGACCTCTGCATGGAAATCATAAAATATCGAGCGATGAATATATTTATAACTATAAATACAGCTGAATGTTGCTATAATAGCTCATATATAAATGTGTATTTCAATGTGTCACACTGCTGATTTTCCTCATTTACAATTATACAAAGAGTTTTTTCATTACTCATCATTAGAATTCACATTGCTACATATTTGTTTGTTATACATAAGTACTTGTAATGTTTGAATAACATGGACTAGAATGAGGGCTTAATTAAGGACCCCCAAGCCTGCCTGTAACTATACATAGGTTGAGTGGCTATCAGACCCTCTAAAACATGAATAATAGATGTAAGTGGGACCCCAGGGAATCATAACTCCTGATCCGCCCTCACTAAAATCACCACCATATGCTCCCCTTTTACTGTATTCTCTCCCTTTCTTACACACAACTTCTCAATTATTTACACATTTATTGGACTATGTTGTACCAAAATAATCCTAAATAATCAGTAATGGAGCGTATTTAGTGTCACAGACTGAAGAGTCACAAATTAAAGGAAAATACTGCACAGTGCGCTGCAGGCTCACTTCTGGATATCGTCTAACTGTGATGCAAAGTAATCATGGAGATCAATTTAATCTTTCAAAGTGTGGGGGTGGCCCGAAGGCAAAGAAAAGGATTTCCTGCTTTTGCATATTAAAACTGTGGAGGAGGCCGTGGTGTAATGATTTACAGGGAAGAAGATAAGTCATGCACCACTGGAATATGGAAGCAGCAGATTCATTCATGTCGTTTCAAGCTGATATAACCACATCAGCTGCATATACGTTTAAAATGTACTTTAACATTATTTCAAGTAAAGTATTTTAAGTGAAGTGTCACTTTCTGACAACAGGAATATAGCATGGAGCCACCTCCTCTGGAGACTGGAAAGAGGGTGGCCTTCTGAAGAGGCTGAATCACACTGAAATCAATAAAAGAAGGCCAGTCAGCCATCTAAATCACCAAGCCAGCTGGGTTGCACTGTGTTTCTCAGAAAAGTAAGATTTATTTTGGACCTTTTTAAGCCCTAAAGTTTATGTAATCATGTGTTATATGTCCAGTAATATTAGATAAGCCCTATCGGACTAAAAAACTGACAAATCTGTCCCCTAGGATGTCAACTGATATAAACTAAAGCCCACTGGCCCAGTTTTTGTGCATAAAATCTCAGATTCTTCAATGGTTTCTGTTAATTATTACAAATATAATGTTCACTTTCACAGAAATTACATATCAGATCAGAAAGCACAGACTCCTTCCCTTATCCTTTGTCCAAGTCTTTGTAACACGTCTGTTGCTGCTATCCAGAGTTAGGGTTCAATTCACACACTTCTACAGCTAAATTACTAATCAAAAACCTGAAACATTAATTAATCTTACATCTGAAAACAGGGCTGTTTTTCTTAGCTCATAAAAAGCTTGTATTAATGTCTATTTGTTGTTGTATTTATGTCTAAATACTGTATATACTCCGTGATTTATCTATGTTTATGCAACGCGACAAACATCTACCCAGGTATAAAAATAGCTCCTCTAATGCTGTGTTACTGTAAGTCTCAAATGGTGCTTCTCTGGCAAAATGGCAGTTGACGACCTCTTCCTTCCATGCCGCACTGTCTCTAATACATAATGGATGAGAGTGAGAAAAGAGGAGCGACTACATATTCATCACTAATCGACCCCTGAGATGACTCTTCCACAGGCTCAGGGTGACAGCGGTGGGTGGAATGAAGGGGTTTTTACTGCCTGCCCCGACTGCAGCGGGCGTAGTTGTCTCTGTGAACAAGGTTAAAAGTTACCTTCATTTATATTCAGAATGTATTCTGAGTGTTACAGTAAATGAGACAGAGTTTTAAGAGCAGGCAATGGGTCAAACACTGCTGTCAAAATGGCCCCGGTGTAAAAGGTAGACTATGAGTGGATTTAAATTAGAATTTGAGCCTTTTGAAGTTAGTCAATACAAAAATATGTGGGAATATACCAATATGTTCTGAGTGGACAGTGCATGGCACTCTTTTTCATGTTTCATAACACTATTTTATGCAATTCTTCATTCATCCATTTTCTATTAAGTGTTTCGTTCTAATCTCTGCCAGGATTTTACTCACATACTTGTTGAAAATATTATTTCCTGTTTATGCCATGACTCAGAAAAAAGGTGGCTAACCCACACAGTATCATTTCATATAAACAAAACAACTACATAGCATACCTTCACTACAAAAAAGTCATTTGTGTGGAAAAGTCAGTTATTACCAGAAAAAAGAAAACAGAAGAAAACGTTATTTGCACTATGTTTAGCAGTGATTTAAATATATGGATAGTGGCTTTAAGCTGCTGAGGATGAACAGGATCCTTGTAGGTGTTAGAGGGCTTAAGGTCGACTATTATTGTGGTGGTACAAATTGATGTAGCACAATAACAGACAGATATTACATTATCTGGCTTTACAGTGCTATAATTACACATTCGCTCATTCACTCTGTGATATACAACAGTGATATGGAGGTTAGCCTCGTTTCACCGCTGAATACTGTATGAGACTATTGCTGTGCAATCAATAGCATTCTTTCATTCACTGTGACATAAAGCAGAGGTTGAGGTGAGCAGATGGTTGCAGATACATTCCTAACTGTGTGTTACTGAAAGAATTATTACAGTGCTTTTCTTCAACTTGCTTAAGGTTGTCTTCGCTATCACAAATCTCCTTCTGCTACAGAAACTTGTACAGTTCTTGCCTGTGGCATTTCTGTTGCAGACGTAGCCCCCCTTAGGGTGGTAGTAATACCAATATCAATACTGATACTTAAACTTTTTATTATTTCAAGCCGCCAATGTGTTTCTGAATACATTTCCACTGCTGCCAAATGATGCTGATTGCTGAACATTACAATGTATTCATTATACCACTATGTTAATTATGTCAAAACACAAGACAGATATGAAAGGAGAATTAACATTAATCTTCACTGCGTGAATTCTATTAATCAATGCGGTGAATGCTGCACACAGCGGCAGCAGAGAGTGTTTGTGTGCTCAGAGTGTGATCTAACAGAAGACAAAACCATGTTTATTATTGGTGGTGACCCGCCTGACACTAGTATTGCTACTAAAAACCATAATTAGTATTGGTAGTATTAATACTCTAAGTATTGATCTGCCCATCCCCACCTG